ACTGTGCGCAAATTTTAGCGACAATACACAGCTGTCATGCATATGCAATGAATACCTAAAAAAAAACACTGTCACTACTCAAGCAGTGCTGTTGTCTTTTTATTTTTTTTCATATTTATGCGATCACACAGCTACTGCTGCCAAGAATACCAAGACCGTCCGGACAATCCTGCAGGTGCTTCCCCGTTTTGGTGCTTCCCACCAGCCCTGCTGCAACTATGGACCACAGATTACTCAAAGTTCTAGCAAAGGCGATAACAATGTCGTTTTTGCTGTCGCTAATATTGTATTATAATTGTAATAATAACAATAACAGTTATTATTGCTATTACTGTGCCTGTCACTATTATCATTATCGTTATTATTATAAAAATTCCTGCCGTTTTTATTATTATAAAAATTCCTGTCCCATTATAAAAAACGCATAACTGATGTAGCTTCATGAATTATGCCACAAAATTACAAACCTGTCTGCTTTATTAACGTGCAGTACTTCCACGTTGCTATTCTCCATACCTACGGCAACCCAATCATCACATGGACAGCAACCAAGCGAGAAGATCTGTGACTGGAAATCATGCTGCTGCAACTGGACACGTTCACGTAAATCCCAGGAGCGGACCGTATTATCCAAACCACCACTCCATAATCGTAATGCATCACTTGATAAATCCACACAACTTGCGCCATCCTGGTGCCCAGGCAAGCATTTCACCTGAAAGTGTTGAAAGGTAATGGTAAGAAATGTATACGACTCTTATAATGGACCGGAACATTTCCTTTCCATTATAAATATTTTCCAACATATTATTAATTCTTTTTTTTTAACACTGAAGTATTTTATTTTATCTTACACAAAAAATGCTAAATTTGCAAATTCTTTTAAAACCAGCTGCTGACAGTCCTTGTCAAGTAAGACAGTCAGTTCATCGTCCTGATCTACTATCAGTGGCCAGGTTCAAAATGTGGTGGCGATGACATCAGGTTTACCTCAGCATCGATCCCATACATCTCAGGAATGTCCTCCTCCAATGGTGTACCTCACAACTATGTTACTACATCTTTGACCTTGTACTCTTCGCATCCATTGCAAACCAGACGGATTTTTGCTGCTGCCACTTGAACTGGAACTTTTTATGAACTTTTTTTTATGAACTTATGAACTTTATGAACTATGAACTTTTTATGTAAGGAAGGGAGTTTGACAGTAGTTTGGAGGAAAACAAACTTCATCACTAAGCTTCAAAAGGAAAATTAAAAATAATTCGGAAAACTAAGAAACTGAAAGAAAATGGACCGTAAAAATCTAAATTAGCTTCAGCTGACCAGTACAGTCTAATACATTATTCACTGCTGGCTTTGTCTAACTTCAAACGTTCAAAACCCTGCCTGACTTCTAACTTTACTTGCCCAAAAGCCTAGTCTGACGGTTAAACTCTAGTTTCCAATAACTGAGTTGTTCCTGGTGGTCCTCCCAAATTAGTCTAATAATGTAATTTTTTTTTTAAAAAAAAAAGGCAGCCTTTTTTAATTTACCATTTTTTTGCTGTCGAGATCCCAGATAAGAATTTTTCCATCAGCCGAGCACGAGAAGCACAGCTTGTTGTCGTGCGAAATTGCCAGCGCATAGCATGCTTGTGCTTCACTGTCCAACTCGATTTTCACTTTTTCGGTCTAAAAAACACTTAAGTTACCCCTGTATTTTTACCATCAGCCACCCTTAGACTGTCACAGTGGAGCCGATGACGCTGATGGGATGTATCTGCATACTCTGCTAATCAGCTATGCTTCTGAAGAACTCGCAAAAGAGGGAGCCATCACCAGTCCGGTCAGCGAAAAGTTGCTGCTAGTGCTAAGTACCACTTCGGCCTATTTCCAAACACCTCGGCCTCTCACAGGGGAGTGGAAGTGGAAGAGATTTTGTCTTATACAAATATAAAAAAAAAAAAAAAAATCGAACTGTTAAATCCCAAATGGTGATTGTCTGTGCTTCACCGCCAACAATCAGTGTGGAACCATCGTTGAACAATTTGCACGAGCGTATGTAATTGTCCTTCAGGCACTCTAATGTTGAGATCGCATTC